GTGTGTGTGTGTGTGTTTGCTATTATAATTGTGCACCTCTTTTCAATCATATATCCTCCAACTAGTTTTTTAAATAATAAAATCTATTTCTATGAATTAGTTTTACATCACTCTATTAAATTCCTGATGGTTTATGGTAATTCTTTCATAAGTTTTCTTGTGTCGTTCAGGTATACAGTCTTATTAGCCTCCCTTCCAATTCTTACATGTAAAACCTTGCAATAACTACAGTAATATGATTAGTTGTTAATTCCCTTCCTCTGCCTAGTCCCTGCCTTTCAGCCTTCCTCAGAAGGCAAGGAAAAGTAATTTTGGAGGGAGAAACATGAGACAATTCCATCACAGAGAATAAGGGCTGGGTCCCTATACTCCAATGTTTGCATGGCCTGAATTCTGTGAAAATAGGCTCATGAAGCAGTGAGGATTTACAAAGAGGCTCTTAAACATTGCAGTGAGGTTACAAAACCCAGAATCAATCCTAAACCAATGCCACCAGGTGCCAAATACAGCCAGAACCTAATGGATATGAATTATTCAGCTGGAACCCAGAACTCCTGCCCAGCAAGCTAAAGCACTAGTTTATGTCATTACTTAATTAACTTCATAAGTATTCAACCCCACATTTCATACAATTGAGTTTGAAATATTACATACAATGATGTTTTTAAGAAGATCATCCCTGCAAACAAAATTCATGAAAACCAGTAACTGAGAGAGGAGGGAAGGAGGGAAGAAAGAAAAAAAGGGGGGAATGGAATTAGAGGAAAAAATAGGAATGTTAAGCTATAAGCAGTATGTCATCTTTGAAAGTCTGAAATAAATACGATGACATACATTTCTTATTGTATTAGGTGTTTATATATTTCTGTAGGTTCTGTATTTTATTAAAATACAACTTACATAAGTAAAATGCACAAATCTTAAAGCTAAACTTTACATGTACTTTTACAGATGTATACATTCATATAACCATCACCTGCTTAAGAGATTTTCGGACTCCAGCAAGATTCATCTTGCTCTTGTCTTAGTTAAGATGCCCCTCCCCCAAAAGTATCCATGGTTCAGATCTCTATTTACTATTGTTTTATTTTTCCTGAATTTGTATAATGGAAATCATACAAAGTGTGTTCTTTTCTGTCTGATTTATTATGCTCAGTATCATGTCTAAGACAATTCTTGGTGTTGCTACATATGGCATATGGCTGACTTTCATCCATGTACAGGCTTCATTTGAATGAATGTAACATCATTTGTCCGGCCTACTGTTGGTCATGCTCAGGGTGGGTGCCCAAAGCCAAAGCAATAAAGAAACCCACAAGGAAGTCAGGAAAAGAATTCCAGTCGGGATTACCAATGCATAATTTCTTATAGTTTGTTTTTCCTGCCTTGATATATCAATGCTGACTCCACTAGTGGAAATTTCTCATCAATATTATAGTTGAAGGAAGAATGTTTGAGGAGACCATGTGTTAGTACCTTCAGATCCACTGTCTTCCCTTCTCCACCAAGCTCTCAGCCCCAGGCAACCCTTTCTAAGCTTCCACTTGGATTCACCTCCCAGGGTGGAGGTGGGGTGGAGAATGAAGCCGGGGTATTCTTCCCCTGGTTTCCTTCTTCTGAGCGGCCTAGGGTTCAGGGTGCCTTGACAGAAGTCTCGGTTCTTCTTGAGGAAACCCGCACTATGGGATTCTAACTTCTGCCAGCCTTTGCCCCTCTAGATCTAGGGTGGGGATAGCTCATTGTTCCTGGCCAGAGGTTTCTGTGCTGTCCCCCAGGTTTCCCCAACATCTGACAATGTCTTCTGTAATAATCCTTTCATAAATAAGGCCTCTTTGAATTATACCAATTTGAGTGTGCCCATTCTTTGCAGTTGGGATTGATTGTTGCAAATGTTTTAAGCCAAAAAAGGAAATGTGTTATTGTTTTTACACTCATTTATACCCTGACAGGTACACCCTACGGCTGTAAAACAGTGGCAGCAGTAATAGGCTTGCAGTTCCCCCACAGATCACATCTTGGTTAGCATGCAGGTGTTAAGAAGAGTTGTTCTGTTCATTGTGTTCTGAAAAAGGAGCCAGCCTGGCCCTTGGGCTGTTAAGCTGCATGACTTGAGGGAGACCACCCCTTGCCCCAGCATGATCATGATCTGGTATCCAAACTTATCATTCTGGATCTCTGCGTAACTGGGGGTTAGGCTCCCAGGCTTAATATTGCAGGGGTAGGATATTGTCAGCACACCAATAGCCTTCAGCCTAGATCTACTGAAGCAAGGTTTCCACGGAGCAAGTAAAGTTTCAAGAAGTGCACAGGTAGCAACTCTAGCTCTGAGAGGCCAGTCTGCCAGGGTGGTCATTCCTTGCTTTCAAATTAATTTTCTTCTTAAACATGAAGAGTCAATTGTGGTTTGTGTGTTTTTTTTATATTTTATTTTTTTAGTTGTAGATGAACAATATCTTTATTTTACTTTTATGTGGTGCTAAGGATCGAACCTAGGGCCTCGCACATGCTAGGCGAGCTCTCTACCACTGAGCCACAACCCCAGCCCTCAATTTTTTATTTTTAATGAAATTATAACACCGGGAATAACCAATGTGTTACCAACTGTGTTTACAGTTATCTTCAATAAAACTCATCTGCTAAACTGAAGCATAACAAGTTTCAAGTCACTTAACATATACTATTAGCATTTTTAAGTATGCAATTGTGATTCAGAAGTTTCTGCAAAACAGGAAAATACTGAAATAAAGTAGATGCTGAAGTTTATGAGAATGCTAATGCCACACATATCACAAACACCAAATATTCATGTTCAAATGTCTTACTGATTATAGGTAAATGTCCAAATGTGAACATGTTTTAATTTTTTTTGTAATTGTAGATGGACAGAATACCTTTATTTTATTTGTTTATTTTTATGTGGTGCTGAGGATCAAACCTAGTGCCTCACACATGCTAGGCGAGTGCTCTGTCACTGAGCTACTGCCCCAGCTCCAAATGTGAACGTTAACTACTTTATACACAAAATACTATTTTGTAATACTATATGCCATGTTCTACACAAAGTTTAATTTGAGGAATAATATTACAAAACAATGCTTCTGATACTATTTAATTATTATTTATATCTTAACAATTCTTGCTTCAACAAACACACCCCATTTCCATTGGAAGGTGCTTTGTCCTGAGCAACTGTCCACTGCTCACTGGCTGTGGTGGGAGCATTAAAGTACTATGATGCATGGAAGTATTACGACTCAGTATTATGGTGCTTCTGATTTGATGGAAAGTTTTCCCTCAAAAACATTTATTTGTGAACTGATTAGAGAAAGAAGAAGAAGACAACAAAAAAGCAGCCCAATTAGGCTCTGTAGGATTCACAATGAAAAGGAAAACTATTTTTCTCTCACCAAATTATGACATCATGATATAATCACAAGGACAGGGATACAGGACTGGAAAATTTAAAAAAAAAAATGCAATACCACTGAGCTTGACATGTAACCTTTTTATTTTGTGATAAAAATGCTTTCATATAAATTTCACCTTAACTACTTTTAGAATGAAACTTTGAAAAGTAAAAACAAAGCGTGCACTTTCCTTACCATGTATAGTCAGGAATATGCGGTCATTTTATTGGTTATTGGGTTTCTCATACACACAGATAAAATATCACTTTTAAGAGAAATTTACACAAAGAAGTTGAAACCAAACAGTTATTGGTGGGGGCCTTGGGACATATAAATGTCTCCTCCCAAAGAGTCATCACTCAATGTATCAGTTAAGACCCACATCCCCAAACCATGTGCCAACACGACACTACACCTCTGGTTCTTTTCTATGCAAGAATTACAAACTGGCAAATTTAACAATGATATAATGGACTGAACATCACAACTGATTGCTTACACCAAAGTCCTTAACTTCTGATCTCACTTTCCCTCAAGCCTTTCCCTCTCCCACCATCATGTAAGTCAGAAAAAGATATTTAAAACAAAACACAAGTAAGAAAGAAACAACAACAACAACAACAAACCTATCCTCAAAGGCAGGCAGACGAGGAGTCAAAGAAAGAATGAATTTATAAAAATAAAAATAAACCAAAAGCGGGGGTGGGGGGGCAGGGGGGAATCTATGCATGGCATAAAAGCATTCCATAAATCTTGTCTCCAATTGAGAATCCAAATGAGAAGTGATTATCCATCTTACCTTCCCTTTTAGAAGAAACTATATAACTCAATGGTTCTTAAAATGTGAGATTGGTAAAACATTTGAAAGGCAGTGCTATCCTTACCCCTGGAGCCTCTTGTCTATAATGGCAGCTTTCACATTCCTTCCCCACAAACCCAAAGAGGAAAAGTATCCCAAAGAGGAAAAACATGGAAGTCAGTCTTACATTGTGCTTGGAGAAGGAGAAGGATTTAAAAGATCCAGTAATTGGATCAGAGGCTGATACTTTCAAGCAGTGGGGATATGGAGCAGGAGGGCAGTGAGGGGTAGATGTGGAGTGGTCCAGAATGGTCCATGCATCAGATAGGTGCTGGATTAATAAACTGGCCCAAGGAAAGAGTCCCCATTTGGAATGATAAAATGTTTACACACCACTAAAGTGACTGACAGAATGCTGACATATGAAAGAATAAAACAACAAACAAACAATCTTCATGTACCAGGTCAGAACTAATTACTGTTGTTGATTCAATGAACTTGGAGGGATGGAAAAACACTATTTGTAGACTGCTATGCCAATGGACACAAAGGACTTCCATAGGGAGCCACAGACAGATAAATGAGGTCAGTGGGAAGCACTGGTGAACACCCCCAGGCACTGCATGAATGAGGACTGTTGTTAAACCAAAACAGAACAGGCAATCCCTACTAATATATACAAAATGCCCCAGCAGAACTAATTTTCCAGGCGTCACAGGCATCATAGTACTGAAGTGGCAATGTGGCCGTTGGGCCAGTTATTAATTGACCCAAGGAGAAGAGGAAGAAAACCATTCTGTTTCTATAGCTGACTAAATTGGTTCTCATCTTGATGGAGAGTCAAGTCATCAAGACCATAATTTAGAGAACAGATTCAGGTGAGGTGCAATCATAATCAGAACATGAGGGTGACAATGAAAAGCATGAAATCTGTCATCATTTACAAAGTGACTCTAGCAAAGGAAAGGTCCCTGGGAAGTTTCTATATTAGTCTTCCAAAGGGCAATGTCATGACTGCTTCAGAGCAAAAGAAATGAGAGCAAAAGCTGGCAAAGGCAGCCTTACAGCTGTCCCCTAGGAAACTAGTCCAACTCTCCATGCCCTGCTGGAACACAGTGCAGTGGACACAGTCCAGTGAGAACCTACTGGGTGCACTAGGAACTCAGATTGCACAGTGTGAGGGGAACTGGTAAACAGGCTCCTGCTCTCAAAGAAAATCAGGAAATAGACTGTGATCAAAGGAAGATGACTGTCACCGGGTCCCTTGAGCTGAGGAAAGTTCAGTCCTAAATGGCAAGGACAAATTGTTTGAGACATTTTCTTCCGTGGGGATGTATGGAAGGAAAGGCTCAACAGCAAAGACTGACTTCACCTGCTGGATGAGGGAGGAAAGTAGACCTATCGTCCTAAGATCCAGGACAAACAAATGTGATTCATGCTGCCAGTTGGTGGGATGCTTGGTATCCCAAGTGGAGGGGCGGTAACTGCTTCTTCCAGGTCACTGCTTCTTCCATGAGTTAGCTTATGTCTTGGTCTTCCCACATTCTGGCTCTTTTTCTGGTTTCAAAAAAGGGGGGTAAGGTTATAGTACCTAGGCTTCTGAGGATAAAACTTGACACTGACTAGGTCCACAAGTAGAAAACAATTAACTCCGTATCCTTCATCCTGGTGAGCTTTCTATGCAGCTCTGCATGCAAGAAAGAGAATTAAGGTGCAGCCTCCTGAAGGGATCTCCTGCCCCCAAAATCTATTCAAAGAAAAATATTTTGTTCCCCTTCTCTCTTGAGGAATGATATACGTAGAATGCAACATGTTCATTTTTTTTTTTTTACAGAAACATACTTGAAAGGTTTATGTTGAGAACCATAACCAAAGTAAACCCTGTGAGACTCCGAGGGGTGCTGAGGAAGTGGGAGGGGAAAGGGAGGATGAAGTTGCTTTCCAGGGCAGGAATGATTCAAAGCACAAAGTCTTGCCCTCTAATATGCTGGTAGGCTACAACCATGGAAAGGTGCAAAAAAGGAAAGCACCAAATGAAGCGAAAGAATTTCCAAGCTGAGAAGATGAGATAGGTCAACTTAGTCAGAATTCCAGGACACAATTCCCAACTGGACTCTAGTGTAGAATCTTCTCATGGATGTAGCAGAAGCCCTCAGGGCTTAAAATGCAGTCCAAACTGCAAGAATGTCCGGGCTACAAAAGGCATCCATCCTATTCTCCAAATAGAAGAGAGTAAACATGGCCCCAAGGGCTGCATTCATCTTGCATTTCCATGAACTTGACTTGGTGGGCAAGAGATTAAAAGGAACCAAGTTCTTCCTCTGAAACTTTGCAGATATTTAGTGAAGCCCATAAATTGCTTCTCTGAAAAGATGGTCTTCTCTCTCCTGCCTCCAAAAGCTGGTTACAGAGATTTCTTCACTTCTCTTCCGGATGACCTTCATTTGTTCCTCAGCAGCATTCACAATAGGCAGTTCTGTCTCTGCAACGGAGGCAGACTCATGCGTAAACCTGCATATTGCTGTGCGGTGGCTCAGACATGTGTGTCCCTGGTCCCCGCTGAACTCCTCCAGCGCTCCCAGGAGTAGGGCTGGTGGTCACATCTGACCAGTCAGAAGCAGAGTGGGGTGATGAGCTTGACCACTGGTCAGGAGACTCTGGGGATGGTGTCAGGTAGGGATGTTCACCCTGGAGGTGACCACCATGACTGGGTGTTCGCTCGGCAGCATTTGAGGAAGCATAACTATGCTGTGAAGGGGGTGTGGGATACTTACCCACCGAGGCTGGGAAAGGATGATAGGCTGGGAGAATGGTCTGAGCTACCTGCCCATCCTGCTGGGGCATCATGGCAGTGGGGAAGGCCACACTGGGCAAACGGGCCATTTCTGGAATCTGGTACATAGTGGGTAGGGAACCTGCAACAGCTGGAGGGCAGCTGGACTGAGGCGGGGGAGCCCCAGCTGGTTGGGCAATGCTGCCTTTGGGAATGAGCTGGAAAGTCACAATGGGGGGCAAGGGCTCCCGTGGAGTGGTGATATGCTTCCCTTCAGGTGGCCTTCCCTGGGGAGCTACACCAGGGTGGGTGCCTTCAGCAGGAGCCAGGACCATGCCAAACATCTCATTGTACTGGGTCTCATTCATTTCCACACGGTTCATCCAATCTGATGGGACGGAGACTGGATGTAGTCTACCCAAGCTTCCCGCACTGCCACTCCCAGGGGGGACAATGTGGTGGTGGGAGAGCAACTGGCTCACAGAGGGAAGCACAGTGCTAGCCCCAGGAGCCAAAGGCTGCATGTCATGCAGGTTAGAGAAAGACAGTGCATGCTGAGCATGGACTGGAGCAGCAGGGGCGGCAGTAGCCAGCATAGGGTTGGGTGAGGCCTGTAGGATTCCAGGGGATGTGATCATTGGAGAGGATGTGGTGTCAGAAACATATGTGTGAGGCGACTCTAAAGAATCAACAGGGGATAAAGTCACTGAGCTCTCAGACAGTTGGACCTTCTCACTCAAAGACTTCTTCCTCCTACTCCCCTTGGCTTCCTTGGCCTCCTTGGCAAGGTTAGGGAGGCTAGTGGGCATGGTACTCTTGGCATTGGGCCGTCTAGGCTTCTTGCCCATCGGTGTGTGCTTCAGACTGAGGAAAGACCTGTTGGGCCCACAAATGACAGGTGAGAGAGCAGAAGTCAGCACGGTGCCTGGGGGACTCGGTGTCACATTGTACTCATCCAGGAGGCGCACAATGTCATGGTGCATGCGATCCCGAGCCACATCCCGGGGAAGACGATCCATGTGATCTGTGATGTCGCGATTGGCAAAATGGTCTAACAGGATCTTGGCTGCTTCATAGCTCCCCTCCCGAGCAGCAAGAAACAGAGGTGTCTCTTCCTACAGAAAAGACCCACACCAAACATTTTTAATAACACTCTTGATACAAGCAGTCTTACTGATTCTTTTTTTTTTAATTCAACCCCCTTAGATATATTTTCCCTAAGTGCCTCCCCCATGAGATTTTAATACCACAGGCATGCTGTCTATCTACCTATGTGCTGAATGTATACCTGTGATTTATATATAAAATGTATAAGCTTATTTCACCTTTCACCAAGAGCCAATATTCCCTCCTACGGGCAGCACCTCCTCAGTGAGGAATTCATGAAATAAAACATGCCCTTGAGCCAAAGGCTCACTTAAAAGAGAACTGAGCTTATCAACATAAGGTTCTAAAAGGAAATACAGTTACAAATAAGAAAGGTAGGAAGAGAAAGAACTAAGGTAAAAATGGGAAATATGGCTGGGGTTGTGGCTCAGTGATAATGCGCTTGCCTTGCATGTGTGGGGCACTGGGTTCAATCCTCAGCATCACATAAATAAATAAAATAAAGGTACTGTGTCCTACAACTAAAAAAAATTAAAAACAGGGGAAAGAGTAAAAGAGAAGAGAATAACACATGAGGAAAGAACTAAGATAAAGGAAAAGAGGAAGCAAACGAGAGAAGATGAGTGAGGTAAGGGAAGCATGACAGAATATTCAGAGGGGAAAATCAAACAGGAAAACATCATGGTATCCAAGAACAGAAAAAAAGAACAGTAGGGAGGAAAATCAAACAAATATAAGAAAAGTGTGACTAATAGAAGAGAGGACCTTCATCAAACTCTCTGCTTGATGGTTCCTGCCCAGCCTGCCTCTTCTATACTCATCACAAAAGAAACTATTTGGAGAAAAGGGAAGGACTTTATAAATAAGTGAGGCACTGCTATGAGCATCCTCAAGCTCCCAGCTTACAGACTATACCTTGTTGTCCTGCATATCTCGGTTGGCTCCATTTTTCAACAGCAAAAGAGTCGCCTCCACATTATTGACAGCAGCTGCCCAGTGAAGGGCAGATTTTCCTGCAGAGGAAAAACATTTTTATAAGCATCCTACTCCTTTTAAAAGGAAGCACCAATTGACTTGTACAGGGAAACCCTGAACTCCATAGACATCAGCAGGAAGCCAATTATCCGTGGGGCCCAACAGAGAAGAAAGTAATATCTTCCTTTCCCTCTGTTCTAGGAAGACTTCAATATAGGCTTCCCAGCCATTAGACAGAGGCAGGTAACAGGATCACTTGCATGTGGTATCCATGACCTCCACATAATAGAATCTATCCTTCACAGACTGAAGACCTGCTCACAGACTGAAGACCTCCCCTCCTATGAAATAAACTTTAATACATTTTTCTATCAAGAGTGGTGTACCAGGGCTGGGGTTGTGGCTCAGCGGTAAAGTGCTCACCTAGATGTGCGAAACCCTGGGTTCGATCCTCAGCACCACATATAAATAAATAAAAAATAAAGGTATTGTGTCTACTACAACTAAAACATAAATATTAAAAATTTTTTAAAAAGCGGTGTACCTAGGAACCCACACAGGTGAACCTTTCATGAGCCTTCTTTGAGGCTCGAAAACCCTATAAAAAGTCTCCCTTTTCACATAATCTAGGGACCCCTACTGGCCCAGGTCTCTGAACATGTTATGGTAAAGAAGAATGAATGAATTCATAAATGAAAGAATGGATCAATCTCTAATGGATTCGGATCAGAGAAGGATTAATAATTAATGATTCTCCTCCTTAGAGGCATGGTTTGCAGGTAAGAATCCCAAATTCCTGCCTCTTGTCCCTACCATGGTCATCCACTGCATTCACATCTGCTTGGCAGTTGATCAACTCTGCCACCATTCCCTCTACAGCCAGACGGGCGGCCAGGATCAGGGGTGTAGTACCATCGTTCATTCTGGCATCCAGATCAGTTACTCGGTTGCGAATCAGAATCTAGAAGAGGAGTAAGAAAACAGTCACTTGGAGAGGAAAAATAATGAAACTAAGAGAAGAAATAAGAGCCAGAACTGAGGCAAACCTGTAAGTTCCTAAAGGGCAGGTAGAGACTTGTTATTTTTGTGTCCAAGATTCTACCATGGTCAACCAATGATATTTGTTAAATGAAAGGATGAAAAAAAGTAATTAAAAAAAAAAAGAAAGGATGGATGAACCAACAAATGACTCATCAAGACATAACGGCCCACATAAAGTGAGGTACCTCTATTTTCTAAGGAAAGCAGAAGAAATGTAGGGAAGTATCACAACTTCAATTATAGTATATAGACAAAGGAGATTTAGAATGCTTCTAATGTCCTCAAAAGGCTAAAATAAAGGGACATGAGGAGAACAATGTCAAGTCAGATTAAGAAAAGTGCCAATGAGCAGCTGGAAACCCAGAGAGCTAGGGCAGTTAACACCAGTCAAAGGCTTTGGAACAGGTTTCATTCCCTTCTGATCTGTGCATTTGGAAGCATCTTTGCACATCAAAATATTGCTAAGAATCAGAAGACTGGTGCAACCTGCTGTTAGTTCTGTCACTATATGGCTAGCTAGAGCAGGTCAGTTGGCTTGCCTCTCTTTTCTTTCTTTCCCATCTAGCAAGTATGACTAACCTCTTGAAGACTTACTGAATGATTTCAATTAGATATTAAATGCTTAAACAAAAATAAAATATTGTAGATCTATAACAGATTTTCATTATCCAAACACATTCTTTTTGGCTTCTTTACCTGGAAGACACCTTGGGCATCAGCTGCCACTGCAGCATGGAGAGGACAGCGGCCCATGTTGTCCTGGGCATTGGCATCTGCACCTGCATCCAGGAGGCGCTTGGCAGCATCAGCCCTTGAGTAGCGGGCTGCAAGATGCAGGGCCATCTCACCAGTCCGGTCTGTCTGGGCCTGAAGGCTGGCACCCTGGCAGACCAAGTCTGTGATGATGTTGGCAGAAGAGTCCTCTGCATCTTCATCTTCATCACTCAAATCTGAGCTGCCTCCTCGGAGAGAAGCCAACATCAGTGGGGTGCACCCATCTGTAGAAGAGGAAAGTTTCAGAAAGTATTCAATGAATAGAAGGAAGTTAACCCTATTGTTGGAATACTTCTATTTGAGTAACATTATGTTTAGGGGAAGTCAATTTCTTATATTTTTTGTAATAACTGGCGATAAATTCTATATTTTTCACCAGCTTTTCCTCTGATACTGTCTTTTCTGTAAAGAATAATGGGAATGAAAGAGCCTTCTGAGCTGGCAGCTCTTCTCTAAGTTAAATAAGCTTCTCTGTTCAAGTTTAAGTGCTAGGCTAATTTAAACTGGACAACATTTTATAATATCCAATATTAATAGAATCATATACATAAGGTAGGAACTAAACTGATTCTCTGTCCTTTGCTTTGGGGTACTATTTTTGTATCCTTGGAGAATCAAATCCATTTAATCAGCCTATTTCTTCTCAACATGCTTTATATACAGCAATGTGAAATACTTCCCTTTCTTATGAGTCCGAAAGTTCTACTTGCCTGTATTCCTTAAACAATCATTTCCTCAAGCTGATTCTATACCCATGAAATTGGCAGGGGGCATATGGCCAAATGAAACAAACATAGGACAATCATACAGAGCCAAGGCAGGCACTGCCTAGTGAAGTGGGAAAGGCTTGAGGTACTAACCTGGGCCCCGGACATTCACGTCCAGCACATCTACCTCCTGCTCAGCCTGAGGAGGAGTGAGAGCCAGTGACGGTGTGCGACGAATGTCTGCAGCTTCAAGGTGCTGCTGTGTCCATGGCCGTCGATCAATGGGGTCATCATCTTCTGAGAGCAAAGCCTCATCTTCAGCCTAGGAGGGGAAACAATACTTCCTACCAATCTGACTCCCAGTAGAAGCTGCTGACTGCTGGTCTAGTCTCCCACAATTTCTTTTAACTTCCATCCAGTTTTCTATCTCTTCCTGCTTGTTATGGTTTAGATATGTATTCTCCAAAAGCTCATGTGTAAGTCAGTGAAAGAAGGTTTAGATTTGGGGAGGTCGGTCCCTGGGGACATGCCTTTGGGGTATATATTTTGCCATTGTTGAGCAGAGCTCTCTCTGCTTCCTGGTGTAACGTCTTAAGCTGTGTCCTTCCATCACATTTCAACCATGATGTTCAGCCTCACCTTGAGCCCCAAGGAATAGGGCTGACCCAATGAATGCAGCTGGCTGTCTAAGGACTGAAACCTCTGAAACCATGAGCCCCCAAATAAACTTTTCCTCCTCTAAAATTGCTTTTGTCAGGTCTTTTAGTCACAGCAGTGAAAAAGCTGACTGATATACTGCTCCGATCCTCTATATCATTCATCACTTCAGCTATCCACTGCTTTCATGATGTGGTTCCTGCTCAGCTCTCCTGCATCATCTGGATAATTCTCCCCACCTCTTCATCCCAAGCTCAACATACTCTTGCTTTTGGCCCCTGCCCTGTGTCCTTCCCTCTGCCTGGTATGGTTTTTCCCCCATTTTTTGTTTGACTAACTGCTACCTACCCTTCAAATAGAAATTAAGTCCTCTTGTAGGTGAGTGTTGTTTTAGCACACTCTGTTTACCGTTACTTCACTGAGTATGTGAAGTACTTACACTTACTATGTGACAGTCTCTACCGGAATGGACAGGTCTTGAGAAGAGGGAATCAGCCTTTTTCCCAATATAGTATCCAGCATAGAATAAGCACTCAGGAAAAGATTGAAGAATAATAATACTGATGATAATTTAAAAGTAGCTACCATTTATGACTTCTTAGTATATGACAGGAATTAGGTAAGGTATATTGCTATATTATCTTCAAAGCAACTCACAGAGGAAAGAGTTACTATATCCCCATTCTAAAGAGAAGAAGAATTAAATACAAAGAGGTAAGATAACTTGCTAGCTACTAAGCAGCAGACTTTTGGACTTGAATCCAGTTCTGGCCAGGACTGCACCATACCTGGCTGCTGGCCACATGTAGCTAAGGATGTGCAGTCTCCTTCCTCACATCTGCCTCCAACCCAATCTACCTCTTGCTCTGTGAGGTTTTAGTTTCCTGTGCTCAAGATGTGGAGCCTCTAAAGCCTGTAGTCACTGGCTTTCTTTACTGTTAAGTCCATCTTTTCTTACAGAAGAGGTGCCCAAAGAGATCTAGTCATGAGAGAAACCGATCACACAACAGTTCTGACTCAACTAACGGCATGATACGATGGAAGAAAGCATGTTTTATTATTTTTAGAAGGTCGTGAAAACATTCTAAAATGACTAGGTAACCCAAGGTCATTAATGTCCTAAGTTTCCCTCTGTTTGTGAGAAGCTGAGAGAGCTACCTGTCTGGGCAACACATAAACGTGACCACCTTTTCCTTCTACTTAGAACACTCTAGAATCAAATAATAGAAATTTGAAAAGTGATCCGGTGATGACTGATGATGGTGGTTTACTGCAGCCAGCTTACCTTGGCTTTCTTTGGCTGGGGTCCTTCATCATCCATCCAATGTTCACTTGTTCCTGAACCAATTAGATTAGCCTCTGACACTTGCACTGAGAGATTTCTGATACGATCATAAAGGGGAGAAACAAAAACAGAGGTTACGGCATTAATAAATATAGTGGTTTTAAACACTTTCCCCACCTGCTTCTAAGGGTAATCTCTGACATAAAGGTCATGGGCCAGAGAGTTATGACATTTCAGAGTACCCATCTTTTCCCTTCCCACTGAGAAAGAGCTTACAACAAAAGTGTGCCACCACATAGAAGCTGAGCACCATGTGACAGCACAGAGTGCTTTCACATGACTACACCTGCGGACTCTGACACTATAGTTTCAGTCACTCATGGGTCATTCAGAACCTTGTTCATTGTGATTAATGGCCAGAGCTTAGAAGTTAAAAATCATGATTCAATAAGACATGCTTTTCTATTCATTTCTGCTTATTACTATGGATAGTGGCTTGTTGGCCAACCCTCTTACTTCAACCCCACGGCATCCTGTCCCACTGGCTCACGACGCTTGTGATTGCTGGAGTCTCGCCGCAGGGTGAAACCTTCAGGCAGCCAGAGGGAGCCATGCTTACGTTTTCGTTTTGCCATGATTACCCCCAGTAGCATAATGAACAAGATAATGACAACAGCAACAGCAATTAGATAAAGTAGCTGAGTGCGTCTTGGAAGCTGGGATTCACCTGAAAGTCCAGAGAAACGGATATTGTTATATAAACCATCGACCTCTTGATAGCAAACTGAAGTTCATTTAGAGGGCCATTTGACCTCTCCACCCGACCTTTCCCCTTAACACCAATGCCACTCACTGACAACAGACACAAGAGGGTATGATAGGGTCCCCTGGATGGCATGAGAAGCCAGCAGAGCTGCTGCTGCATCCGTGTTCTTGAAGCACTGGTCTGAGTCTTGAACACACTGGCGGTTGTCAATTTCCAGAAACACCTGAGAGCTGTGGGATGCCAAGGGCAAAAAGGAAGAAAGGAAATGGAAGTTAGAATAGGGAGTTCCAGCAAGTTGAGTCAGAAGGGTTATATAACCCTTTCTTTCCTCCTCTCAGCATCAGACTGTTCACCTCTGGGATGATGCCTTCAGAAAGATCTCAGAAACTAGGACACTGTCCCTTCAGATCCTAAACACTTATTCCCACCAAAAGAATGTCTCACCTTCCTTAGTCTGGCTGACCTAAGGCTTCTGGCTGAGGCAATGAAAGCTAAGTGAGGAAGCTGGGGAGGCTGGCCTTCAGTGCCCTCCTCTCAAAGGCTTCAGTGGTCTTCTTCCATCCCTTCCCACCTATTTGGTGGCACTGAGTGCTACACTAAAATCATGCCCCTGTACATTTGAGGCCCTACTACTCCCATATTTTTGTATTCATATTTCATTAGCTGAAGGGTTGAAAAAATTGTGGGATATACCAACAAATAGTGGGGTATGAATGACAGAACAAATGAAGATTATTGCCCTTGTCAAAGAGACATGTCATTAAGTACAAAGTCTTGTAGATAACTCAATGACTAATACAAGAGAGGAGTTGCTAATAAAGGGTTTTGAGGCAACTCTGGAAAAAAGTTCCGGCATTTAAGAAGGCCTCCCCAACATCTTGCCTTCCACTTGCTCGAGTCCACCTGCTTTTTCAAGATCAGGGCAAATCTTTATCCTTAAACAAAAGTACTGGGATAATGGGCTTGTCTTAAGCAATGGGCTTTTCTATTTGCCTAAGCTTTGTATTTTCATAGGCTGAGTTATAATTTCTGCTATATCTCAAAATGCTCAGCTTTACAGAATTCACCTTTAACAAGTTCAGAAACCAGATACCTACCCAGCCACCTCTTGTTCCTGCTCATCAGGGAGAGACCTGCGTGTTATCTTCTGCTTCTTCATGGCAGCTGACTTCTCACCATAATAGGGGTATACCATGAGGGCCCCCTGTGAGTCCCGTTTAATGCGCAGATTGGTGTGGAGAAGGGTGCCCAGTGCCCGCAAGAAGCTGCGGGCATCCTGGAGCAGTTGTTCAGGGGGCATCAACACCACAATGACCAGGGTACCCTCCGCCAGGTTCTCGGGCCGATCAGCAGCACAGTCCAGCCCATCCCAGCCACACTCCTCACTATTGCATCCCTGGTCACAGTGGTTGTCTTTGAAGTGGTCTGCACAGTACTTATCATACCTAAGCAAAGAAGAGAAAGAATGGGGAAAGGGGTTCAAATTAGACATAGCTTCATTTGTTTTCCACTTGGAACTACTGTGGATTTTGCTACCTATCTTTTGTGGCTTGTATCAGGATCCATATGGCCTGTGAAGCCTTCTTTGAATTTTCTGTCATTGACACTGTGGAGTGCATTCAGTCTATGCCACTCAGTATCACTGACTGTTCCCTGAATGGGGAACAACACTGTACACGTTAGGCACATGGGGGCTCCTATGCAACTCACACTCTTGCTCATTCAGATTTTTAACCAAAGCTGCACATGTGAAACCAAAGTCAACCTGGTTAATGTTTCCTCTACTTTGTATCCACTGCTCCCCTTAAATGAGGTAACAAAGAGCCTTAGAAAGTAAAAGGTGCCAAAGATGGCTCTAGACTCGGAACCATCAAAGGCTGACAGAGAACCAGTGTGGCCCATTTCTTTCCCTCTCAGGAGCGACTGCAACTTCAGAAAGTAAGCAGGGGAAGGGGGTGTTCCATAGAGGATACTAGATCTAACTCGTATAATCTCTTTCAAATACTAGGAAAAGGAATTAGGACCCCCAAACATAAATGTTCACAATCATTTGCTACACTCTCTTCTACCACCCCTACCTCCATCCCTTGATAACTCTATCATCTGGTACAATTTGCCATGTACCTCAGTGAAAAGAGTAGGAGTCATTGGTACTGTGTGTGCTTTTGGAAAGTTCTTTAACCTTTGATACCTCAGTTCTCTCATATATGAAAGATCATTAACAATACCTATGCCTCACAAAGATTATTGAGAATTAACTAGGGCTAGATGCAATGGTTAATAGGAGAGTTACAATACTGACCATAAAGCATTCTCTAACTGGAACAGAGAGGAGGAATCTTAAAAGACCTAATCTAGCTCATGCTTTCAGATAAATTTAGATGTGGAAAACCAGTCTAAGGGAAAGGAATTGGTGAAGAGAGAGAGGTACAGACCTTTTTATCCATCCTGTAGGCAGGTTACTTGAGAAGCTGCCTAAGGGTAGGAAATAACACTTCCAAATGGTCAAAGAGCAGCAGGTGAGAAGGCAAAGACAGGCAAAGAAAGGATGGTTATGCAATGAGCACCCCTCTGTCATCGAGGGAGAGCGCAGGTGGCTGTGACGAGACAAGGCTGGCACCATCTGAAAAGTGGAGGCAGCTTGGGTGGAAGCACTGGAGTGGTTAGAGCAAGAACGAGAAACCAAGGAGTGTTAGTGACAGTCCCTTTGGCTTCTGCAGAGCCTGGAGCCCTTACTTGCATGTCTTGCTGTTCCCTTGGCATTCAAAGTTGTCAAACAGGCACTCGGCTGTGTTGCACAGCTCATCACACTGGTTGTTGATGTAGTCCCAGCAGGGAAGTGGGGAGGAGCAGTTGGCCCAGGGGTTCTCCATGGTGAGGGAACAGTCACCTCCATCCCACTGGCAGGCGTGGCTGTTGCAGGCCTCATCGCAGACGCCATCCCGAGCTTTGTCAGTGCAGTACTGACTCAGGCAGGTGGCAGGAGGAGTGCTGGTGGGGGCCGTGTAGAGTTCACAGTGGCTGCCCCAGAATGGTGGAGAGCAGTGGCAAGAATAATAAGGAGGCTGGCGCTGAGGGTAGCAGCTGCCCCCATGCTGGCAGGGGCTGCTGGCACAGCCCGATTCACAGTCCTGGGGATTGGGGCAGAAGCAGCGGGGTCCTGAGGCAGTATGCACACATTGCTCCCCTTTTCTACACTTCACCTGTCCACAGCTGCTCTGGCATCTTGCTCCGGAGAAGCCCTGTGGAAGGTGGTGAAGAAATGAGGATGGCAGGCAGACCTACGACTTGCCCTATTCTTGGTCCTAACCCCCTCTCTTGCATACCTCTAGGGAGACAAAGACTAGACAGACACTTGGTTAGATCCCTTCATATAGCATCCTCAATCTAGTTCGAGGAGCCAGTGGATAAGAGCTGAAGGTTCCATGAGATTAATGTAGAATTCTCTCACTTTAAGAGCTTACCTCTAAAAATTAAGTCCACCTTCTCTAATCATTATTAGATCATTTCTACAATGACTTTGGGTGGGGGTGGGGGGGTCCTGTTGGAAGTTTTGAATCCCTAGAAGACTTCCACATCAAGCTCAGCCCAAGTCAAGGTTACTAGTCAGGTTTCTTTTGGGTGTCTCCACACACATAATGACTTCTCTTTTAGGAAACTTTCAGCCTTTGGCAGTGGCAAGAGTTTGCACAACAAATGGCTGAAATTAAGCTGCTTTCTACTTTAAGGAACAACATAAGCAGAATAGAATTTCACCCAACCAGGGCAGTAAGACTGCTCTGGCATGGAACCACAGAGCCAGTGACAGTACCTCTATTTTAAGGGGACATTCCATCACTTCTTGTGGTTTTCCCTTAGTGTTCCAAAGGGAAACTTTTAGTCTTAGACTGGGAAACTCATAGTTTCTGGGAAGGCCTAAAGTGCTTTCTTCTGAAGGAGGTGAAATTGAGAAAACTCCCCATTAAGGAACTTGAAAAACTCAGATTTAATCTCAGTTTTGTCATAAATCATATGGAAGAGAGAATGTTCTTTAAATCAGCATCAGGCCACTCACTGGAGGACAGCGACAAATGAAGCCATCAGGTACATTGCTGGCCACAGCACAAGTCCCTCCATTCAGGCAAGGCATCTGGGGACACACATCCATGAAGGTTTCACAGTGACGGCCTCAAGGCAGGGGGAAAAACAACAATAACACAGTTTTAAAAGGCAGAAATAGTAAGGTCAAGTTACTGAACAGAACCCCACTGGGATGGGAATCAGCCACAGACTGAGAAAGAGGTATGAGAGTTCAGTTCTAAGCTTCCAGGGATATGAGAAGGCAAGACACTTGATGGACCTCAACATGATGCCCTCACTGGCTCACACCAATTCCTTCATCTTTCTCATCTGAACAATAAAGCACAAGCAGCCACATCCCCAAACCAAGCCCTAAAAGGATGCATATGAGAAGTGACTCTAATTACCAACTTCTGTTCAACAAACTTTATAGCCCATTTTGTTATATTTCTACTTCATAAGAGAATCTCCACCAGGACCAATGTATCTAACCAGGCATTGACAGTTTACAGAGAATTTCTATCTGTGAGGTCTCTTTTCAATTATTTTGGCATTTCTGTACTTTAACTGGTCTTACCCTAAAATACAGCTTCATTTTCCCAGAGTTAATTTTCTCTAGAAATATTTCTAAGCCAAAGGACATCTGGCTCCACTAGAAAGTGAACCAGGCAACTGGACTCATAGAAGGGACATGGGGCTCAGCTGAGGTCTCTTGGCAAATAATAGGAGATGGGCTCATCTGGATTGTGGTCATTTAGATTTTTAAAAAATTAAAATAGTAGCACTTTTGGCCATTCAGAATTAAGAAACCAGAGTTACAAATGTTTGACTTTCCAAATCACAGTGGCAGACACTGACCAAGATCAGGTATCACACAGACACAGTACTCAGGGGTCTGCTATTCTCTCGCTCAGCAACAACATCTCACTGCTATTGCAGTTCAAGGGATTCCTTTCACTCACAAGTGTGGAATAAGCACAAACTCTACTTCCTGGCAGTGGAATAATCATTCAAGGTGGTTCTCTATACCTTTCTTCTCTGTTTTCCCCTTCCTTTGTATGCTTGCCATTGTTTCCAGGTAAAAACATCCGCAGAGGCAATGAAAGAAACTGGAGCCATCTTTGCTTCTCTGGCTTCCCAAGCACACTGGGGCCAATATGAGCCTGTAGACAGACTATTCATATTCTTTCCATGCCCCACACTTGACTCACTAAGTAGACTGTTTCTTTTTTTGTGTGATTATGGCATCCAGATAGCTTCCATATTTCAAAGTCCCTCCCATTCTTTGTAAAATTCTAAGATTATTTAAGGCAGCATATCTTTAAAACTGAAAGGAAAGAAGGAAGAAAGGGAGAGAGGCAGTGAAGAAGAAAGGAAGAAAGGATGAAGAGAAGAAGGGAATGAGGAAAGAAGGGAGAAGGCCAGCTAGAGATGGGTTGGGGATGCAGTAGTATCCCACTTGCCAAATGACTAGTAAATGGACTACTACAGCCTATCATCTGACTCGCAGGGCATGATAACATGCTCAACATGGGAGATACAACTACAGACTCCAGAAAATGCAAGACAGATTTAAATCTGAGTATCTGGTGATCTAGCCACATCTAAATGCATTCAACTATTTTTAAGTCCCCAAAAGTCACCATGCTGCCCTTCTTCAGAAGTGGACTAATAAGTGCTGATAAAGTCCCTATTCTGGGGCAGGGCTTGGTCATCATTATATCCTGTGGTGGAAAAAAATAAAGCTTGAGAAAAGACTAGGAGCGAGGCCAAGCCTTAGCAGGGCAGGGCATACTTGTGACTACTTGTGACTACTGCAGCTTTCTTGTTCCTACTCTGAACCACTGATTTTTGGCTAAACATCCCC